AACAACCATTAAATATGTAAAAGTATTTTAAAAAAATTATCCATATGGAAAGATGAAATTAAACTCTGTAAACATATCCCTGCTTATTAACTACTCTACTGCAGCTGCTCTTTGGTTTGGCAAAATGATACTGGTCAGATGCCTCGGGGACTAAATATTCAAGTAAGTTTGTACCCAGGTAAAACCAAGTCTTGTGTCTACTTTTTCCTTAAATGTCATCACATTTAATCAAGTGCTTGAAGGACCAAAGACAGTACTAATAAATTTTCACAAGGCTTCATTCTGACCTTTCTCCCCAAAGAGTGACAGCACTAATCAATACCAGATGAAATACCAAAGAGGCAGCCATTCCCTGATTCCCACACCAACAGGTCCTTGCTGAAGGGTTGTTAATGTGTATGAAAAAACTCAGCCAAATGTTATTCAGAATGTGGCAAAATGTTGGTCATGAATTAAACCAAAGGTAATTAAAAGGTCTTAACTGAAAATTTCTGAAAAAGTGTTTATTACGCTATTAAAGATGATGTTATATAACAGAACTTAAAAGAACTGAGAAAGATTACACCACAAAAGTGCCTGAATACGTTAAAGGGGAAAATTCTTTCCTCAGTTGTTAATCAGGTGCATGCAAATCCTTTGATCTAAATGTAGAAACACTAGTAAACAGTGCCAGATCACTTTTGAAAGTATTAAGTTTAAATCATTTACTATTTTCTTAGGATATATAAATTGCCAAAACCAAGGATGATTTTGGTTGATAACTGATTATCACTCACTTGACTCTTACTTAGTTTTCTAGACCCAAGATTATTAAGGCTACAGAGTTGAAATAAAGGTAGAAGAATCCATATTATAGTATTCCAAATTATATTTTCAAAGCTAATGCATTCCTTCAGTTCAAAAGTGGAAAAGTTACTTCCTTTGAAAATCTAATACTAGCATTAGCCAATGGAATTAGACAAATCCTATAAACTGTAAACCTCAAACAGTTGACTATAAAACTTATGTGAAAAAACTAATATGTATGTAACATTAGGAAATTATAGCCCTATCCTTTGTATAGTGTTTGAGGTATAGAAGGTATTGCAAAAGTATCTGTTGGATGAATGAAAAGTAAGTTTATTTTGCAAAAATCCGAAATGGAAGAATGTTAGAGGTCATCCAGTCCAACTCATTGGAAACACCCCCTCCTTTCAAACCTATGTTACAGATAAAAAAAAACTATAACCCTAGATAATTATAGATTCCAGTTAAGATTTATCTATCCACTACTAGAAGCAATCAATTATTTTGGTTTGTGTATGTATATCTGAATGAACAGTATAAACAAGCATTAACAGTGGTTATCCTACACTCTTTCTCCTTTATAAGATACTATATTTTTCTTTATAATTAATGCAACAATTCTTGCCACTTAGACTGGATTTTTCAAAAAGAAAATAGGTTATGAGTCTAGGCAGAAAGATGTTGCTGTTAGGACAGATTTCGTATTTTGCACTTAAGAGTGGAAATCAGGTTAAAATTTCTTTCCTGAGCCCTGGCCAGTTTGGCTCGGCGGTTGAGCATCGGCCTGCAGACCAGAGAGTCCCGGGTTTGGTTCCTGCTAGGGGCAGGTATCACACACACAAAAAACTTTCTTTCCTGAGAGCAGTCTTATGCTAAACAGTTTCACCATAACTCAAATTGCATTTTAAGTCACTGTTTAAGCTGTTATAGGGTTACTATAAAAAGTGTCAGAATAATTTTTCATCATTACCTAAATTGAAATTTGAAAGTCAACCTAATAGCATGTTGCATTCTACATACCTTAGGACTGAAAATTTTTTTAACAGCTTACAACAGCCTGCCTATTTTCCTCTTTACTTTTCTTCAAGCCACTTCTACCTATTCCTACTTTGTCCAATATTTCAATAGCACATGTACCTTTGTGTTTTCCTGCATGTATACTAATAAAAATTCAACAAAAAGGTAATTTTAAATCAGAGAAAGAAAAGTATTTCTTAAGTTTCCTTTAAGCCTTGGGCACACTATTAATGCAACATTGTTGCATTAATGCTTAGAACTAAGCCTTCAATGCATTACACAAATGTGCTCCATGTTTTACATCATTATATTTAGATATCTTAATCTTTCTGAGTGTTATTATATAGCCAACAATAGAAAATCTTTATTAAAAATGTTGAAAATGTATAAAACAGTAATTATAAATTATCAAACACCCAATTTTTAAAAAGCAGTTTTCTTATTTTCCTTACCTACTACAGGCCAGTGATCTGGATATTGTTATTCAGTTTTAACCACCATACTGCCCTAGAAGTACTTAAGTTTTTAGCTTCTGTTTCTGCAGTAAAAATTCATATGGACACTAAGAAACAACTCTGGTAATATAACTCAGGTATCAAAAAAATACATATGCCGTGTTAACATGTGATCTGACATATTACAGCATCTCATAACAGGTAAGTGTTATCTGCAAAGTAAAATTAAGTCACTTTTGTAGCTGTGAGTCAATGCTGGATTTATTTAAGATTAAGGCATCTTCCTGCTCTGTAGTAGCGCTTCTGTGGATCCAGCGATCTGTACAAAGGCTTCCTTATTGAAAAAATATATCTTCTGTTATACTTCACTTATTTCATCCCATTGATAATTTTCTTGCAAATAATACTGAAAATATCAGTCCATAATATGTTTTCATAAACCTATAAAACCAGAAAAAAATGATTTATTGGTAAACACTTGATTTTATATTTCTGAAAACGATTTATTAAGTGGTTTTGTGGGCTTAGGTATAAAGCTACTACTATAACAAGATAGAAAAGAAATATTTTAATACTGTTATACTGTAATAATAATAATGATCTTCTCCTGAAGCATCAAGAAAGCATTTTAAAGCAGGCAGATTCTCAGGGTACTCCCTTACTGTTAACTTGAACATAAGCTGAAGAGACATCTTATCCACACCTTTCTAAGACTGTTGTGGGGCATAGGGAAGATTAACAGTGACAGTTCTAGGAACTTCAGCTGGGGATTCTCAACCACCACAGGCAGCAGCCAGTAGTAAGAAGAAATCAAGCGAGGATTGAGGCCCAACTGCTGTACCAGTTCTCAGTGGCACTGACTAGGACTGTGACCACCACATGCACTCCTGCTGCTCGTCTTCAGAGTCCAGCCTGAGTGCCTGTGTTCTGATCCTATTGGGTCTCAGGCTCCGGTGTAACTCTGGACCGGGGTCTAGGTCCTTGGCATAGAACTGAATGTTCACGACATATGCCATGCAAGGAATCAAGCACAGGCTTCCCTAACACTGCAGATGACAACCTTTTTGAAAAAATGAGTTCATGCCCCGCTGGTGTGGCTTGGTTAGACACTGCCCCATGCACCAGGAGGTTGCTGGTTTGATTCCCAGTCAGAATGCATGCTTGGGTTGTGGGCTTAACTCCCAGTAGGGGGCGTGCAGGAGGCAGCCGATTGATGTTTTTATCTCTCGCTCTAAAAATCAATACAAATATATTTTAAAATATAAAATAAGCCCGGCCAGTGTGGCTCAGTGGTTGAGCGTTAACCCATGCACCAAGAGGTTGCTGGTTCAATTCCCTGTCAGGGGACATGCCCAGGTTGTGGGCCAGATCTCCAATGGAAGGCATGCAGGAGGCAGCCAATCGATGTCCTCTCTCATCGATGTTTCTATCTCTCTCTCTCTCCCTCTCTCTAAAACCAATCAATCAATCAATCAAAACATTAAAAAAATAAAAAACTGCCCTGACCAGTTTGGCTCAGCGGTTAGAGTGTCGGCCCGTGGACCAGAGAGTCCCGGGTTTGGTTCTCTCCAAGGGCACGTACCTCAGTTGTGGTTTGTCCCCGGCCCCAGTTGGAGTTGTGTGGCAGCCACTTGATGTGTCTCTCTCACATCAATGTTTCTCTCTTCCTCCCTCTCTCTCTCCTTCTCTATCTGAAGATAGATGCAAAAATGTCCTCGGGTGAGGAAAAAAAAACAAAAATAAAAAAACCAAGCTTGTGGGCATCTGTTACGTAGCAGTAGGTAACACTCTTAGGTAAGTTTAACGAACATTGAACACCTTGCCCTGGCCGGTTTGGCTCAGCAGTTAGAGCGTCGGCCTGCGGTCTGGAGAGACCGGGTTCGGTTCCCGCTAAGGGCACGTACTTTGGTTGCAGTTTGTCCCCAGACCTGGTTGGTTGTGCGGGTGGCGGCCATTCGGTGTGTCCCTTTCACGTTGATGTTTTTCTCTCTCTCTTCCTCTCCCTCCCACTCTATCTGTACAAAAAATGGAAAAATGTCCTCATGTGAGGATAAAAAAAAAAAAAAAAAATTGAACACCTTCACAAGATGCTACTGAGCACTGAGCTCAGCTCCTGATTGACTGCACACAGCTGTATCCTTGACGTTAGCATCAGGAGAGACTTGACTACATCCCTGCAGTTCAGCTTAAGGTCAGCCTTTACTCTCACTGCTCATACTGCTGATCCACCTGGAATGTCTTTCCTGGCTCTGTCTCTGGACACGCAGTAAAGGCTAGCTCATCCATGTACTCGCCTGTAGTAAATTACTCTTCTTTTACAAAGTAAGTAGCATCAATGAACCTCTTAAGTCTTTTTTTCAGCTTTTAATGTTAGTCACTCTTCTCTGAATCAAATTTCTTCAATGGTGGGCAAAAGTCACCTTTTCCCTTAAACTAATTAATAGAGTACTATTTACTAAAAAGGTCAGCTGTCTATGAACCAATGCTAAACAATCGTTACTAGTTTCTTCATTAATCTACCAATATATTCATGAAAGTTGTGCTAGGATTGTAAGGAAAATGGGATTTAGGCAGGTATCTTCCAATCCTTCCTGCACTACCAAATTTTGCTGATATAACTGAAAGAGTAAAAAACTGAATTTCAAATTGTTTTGAGACCCATGAAATATGCAAGTAAACTGCATTTATTCAAGGAAATTACCTTTTAATGGTCTTACCTTGTTCTTATTCAATTGGTTAGTTATGAACAAGTGGTACTCAATTTTCTACTGTCACTGTAACATGGTTATTTGTCCCTGTAAGCACATAATTACATATGACATGACCAAAAAAAAAAAAAAAAAGATTAAGTTGCTGGCTAAATAGCAAAATTGATATTGAAAGTAAAAGCAACTTCCCCTGGCCGGTTTGGCTCAGCAGTTAGAGTGACCTGGGTTCGGTTCCCGTAAAGAACACGTATCTCGGTTGCAGTTTGTCCCCGGCCCTGGTTGGGTCGTGTGGGTGGCAACCACTCGATGTGTACCTTTCACGTTGATGTTTCTCTCTCTCTCTTCCTCTCTCTCCCTCCCACTCTATCTGAACTAAAAAAAAATGGAAAAATGTCCTCGGGTGAGGATTTAAAAAAAAAGCAACTCTTAAGTACTAAAGAGGCATATGGTACTAACCATTTGTCTTCTGGTGGAACAGAGAAGTCAAGCACTGCTAAGAGCTAAGTCTGGTTTCATGCTTATTTTTGTGAAAATGGCCATTGGCTTAAAGATCTTCAGCAGCAATAACTAAGAAGTTTACAATATGAACCTTTCCCTTTATCTTATACAAGGGATCTAATGATCCCAATGATACAAATTTTAGAGAATAATTCAAATGCTGTGAAAATCCAAGAAGACAAAAATCTGACAAGTTCTGAAGTATCAGGGTATTTTCTGGAGTTAGTACAAATTGATATGAATGTAAAAATTATTTTTCTACAGTGAATATGATGACAATGTTATTACTATTATTATTAAAAACTACCACAGTTTTTTAGGCTGTAACACTCGTAAATGGCCAGACTACATACATTTCAGACCCAAGCCTGATTCAACAGCCCATGTCTATCTTATCAACTATTCTATAATGTACCCATAATTGATGAAGTGATTAAGTCATCATGAAAAGGTTAAAATATGCCCTGGCCGGTTCGGCTCAGCAGTCAGAGGACTGGTCAGCAGATGAAAGGATCTCGGGTTCAATTTCTAGTCAAGGGCACATACCTGGGTTGCAGGTTCGACCCCTGGCCCGGGTTGGGGCCATGTGGGAGGTAACCAATTGATGTTTTACTCTCTTTCTCTCTCCCCTTCTTCCATCCCTCCCTCCCTGTCTAAAAATAAATGAAAAGCCCTGGCCGGTTTGGCTCAGCGGTTAGAGTGTCGGCCTGCGGTCCAGAGAGACCCGGTTTCGGTTCCCGCTAAGTGCACGTACCTCGGTTGCAGTTTGTCCCCAGCCCTGGTTGGTCGTGTGGGTGGCAGCCACTCGATGTGCCCCTTTCACATCGATGTTTCTCTCTCTCTCGCTCTTCCTCTCTCTCCCTCCCACTCTATCTGAACAAAAAAAATGGAAAAAAATGTCCTCGGGCGAGGATAAAAAAAAATTTTTTTTTAAATAAATGAAAAAAAATATCCTTTAGTGAGGACTAAAACGACAACAAAAACATTTTCTCTTTGTCTTTAACCTTTGGCATTTTAATTATAACGTGTCTTGGTGTGGGCCTCTTTAGATTCATCTTGTTTGGGACTCTCTGCACTTCCTGGACTTGTATGTCTATTTCCTTCACCATGTTAGGAAAGTTTTCCATCATTATTTCTTTTGTAATTTATTATTTTTTAAAAATATGTTTTCAGCCCTGGCCAGTTTGGCTCAGCGGTTAGAGCATTGGCCTGCGGTCTGGAGAGACCCGGGTTCGGTTCCCGCTAAGGGCACGTACTTCGGTTGCAGTTTGTCCCCGGCCCTGGTTGGTCATGCGGGTGGCAGCCACTCGATGTGCCCCTTCACGTCGATGTTTCTCTCTCTCTCTCCCTTCCTCTCTCTCCCTCCCACTCTATCTGTACAAAAAATGGAAAAATATCCTCGGGTGAGGATAAAAAAAAAAAAAAATGTTTTCATTGTTTTGTTTTGTATTTTAGAGTGAGACAGAAACATCGATGTGAGAGAGATATATCAATCAGCTGCCTCCTGCACGCCTCCCCCACTGGGGATGGAGCCCAAAACCCAGGCATGTGCCCTGATTGGAAATGAAACTGGGACATCTCAGTCCATGGGAGGATGCTCTCTCCACTGAGTCACACCGGCCGGGTTTATCATTTTTTCCTTTTTTTTTTCCTTTATTCTTTTTGGTACGTGCCCCTAGTGGGAACCGAGCCCAGGACTCTCCAGTCCAAAGGCTGATGCTACAACCACTGAGCCAAACTGGTCAGGGCATTATTTTTTCAAATATATATATTTTTTTTAGAGAGAAAGGAAGGGAGAGAGGGAGAGAAACATCGATTGGCTTCTCCTGCATGCCCCCAGTATTGAGCCCACAACTCGGGCCGGTGCCCTGACTGGGAATCAAACCGGGACCTCGCAATCAATGGGAGGACGCTCAATCCACTGAGCCATACCAGCTGGGCTCAAATAGATGTTCAGTTCCTTGCTCTCTTCTCCTTCTGGCACCACCATGATGGCATGTTGGTATGCTTGAAGTTGTCCCAGAGGCTCCTTAAACTACATTTTTTTTTTATCCTTACCCGAGGACATTTTTCCATTTTTTTGTTCAGATAGAGTGGGAGGGAGAGAAAGGAAAAGAGAGAGAGAGAGAGAGAGAGAGAGAGAGAGAGAGAGAGAGAGAGAGAAACATTGACTTGAAAGGGACACATCGAGTGGTTGCCACCCGCACAACCCAACCAGGGCCGGGGACAAACCACAACCGAGGTACGTGCTCTTAGCGGAAACCGAACCCAGGTCTCTCTGGACCACAGGCCGACGCTCTAACCGCTGAGCCAAACTGGCCAGGGCTAAACTATTCTCTTTTTGCACTCTTCTTCCTTTCTATAGTTCTGAAAGCAATTTTCTACTTCCTTATCTTCCAAATCGCTGATTTGATCCTCTGCTTCATCTACTCTCCTGTAAATTATTTTTCATTTCAGCTACTGTATTCTTCATTCCTGACTGGTTTTTTATAATTTCCATTTTCTTTTTTATGCTGTTAAAATTCTCGCTGCTCAGTTCCTTAAATACTCTTATAATCATTATTTTAAACTCTATAGCTGGTAGATTGCCTCCATTTCATTTAGTTATTTTTCTAGAGACTGCTCCTACTTTTTCATTTGGGACCTGTTTGTCTCCTCATTTTGGCCACTTCCCTGTGCTTGTTTCTGTGTGTTAGGTAGAGCTGCTACATCTCCCAGAGTTGGTAGAGTGGCCTTATGTAGTAGGTGTCCTGAAGGCCGCTGGCACAGCCTCCCCAGTCACCTGAGCTGGGCACTCCAGTATTGGAGTGCTGTGCACACTGTCCTTTTGTAGTTGATTCTTGATTACTGTTGGTAAGTCACTGGGAGGGACTGACCTCCAGGCTGATCAGCTGAGAGGACTGGCTTCGACACCATTGGAAAAGCTGCTGAGTAGAGGGCTGATCTCATAGAGCAGGACTTGCTTCAGTGGGGCTTTGGTGCCTGCCAACTCTACCCCTTGAGTATGTCACTTGTAGAGATGGTTGAGTTGTAATAAGAGGTGGCATGGTGCTATTCACTGGGTGCTAGACAATTCAGTCCCTTCTTATATGTCTCCTTTCGAGCTGCTACCCCAGCACTGGAGCTCAGAGGGAGTGAGTAAGAGTAAGTCTGTGCATGGGCCCTTTAAAAGGAATGCCTGGGACACCAGGAGCCCTCAGCCTCACTTACCTACTTACCCATAATTCCCACTGGTTTTCACAGCTAGAAGTTATGGGGAGTACTCTTCCTGGCACTGGAACCCTGGGCTGGGGGTTCTGATGTGGGGCTGGAACCATCATTGTTCCTTAGGTGGGACCTCTGCAGCCGAATTATCCTTCCCAATTTTTAACTGCCACCTGTGGGTGTGGGACCAGCCCATTCCGTGTTCCCACCCTGCCTATCAGTCTTGATGTAGCTTCTTCTGTATATCTTTAGTTGTAGGACTTCTGTTCAGCTGGATTTCAGGCATTCTGAATGATGGTTATTTTGTATTTTCATTGTAATTTTAATGTGTTTGTGGGAGATTCTGAGTACCACGTTTACATCTTGACCAAAACTCACCTTGTTTAAGTTTTATTCAGAATATTATACCTAAAGAACTTTCTCTGTCTGAGGTACAGAAATACATGGCTCGGTAACCACCAAAAAGAACCTTTCTATGAAGAGAACAAGATACAGCAGCAGCCATTACACTTCCTCACTCAATCCCTTTCTCCATAAACTCTACCAGTAAACACTAACCCCTCATATCTATGTATGACATTTTATTTTATTTTTTTTAATCCTCATCCGAGGACATTTTTCCATATTTTTGTTCAGATAGAGTAGGAGGGAGAGAGAGAGAGAAACATTGATGTGAAAGGGACACATCGAGTCGCTGCCACCCGCACGACCCAACCAGGGCTGGGGACAAACTGCAACCGAGGTACATGCCTTTAGTGGGAACCGAACCTGGGTCTCTCTGGACCGTAGGCCGACGTTCTAACCACTGAGCCAAACTGGCCAGGGCTGACATTTACTTTAAAGTTTCACATATTTTAGTATTTTAAAATACACATTATTTTGATTTTTATACATTAATCCAATCTGGTGAGTTTTATTTTAACCAGATGAAGCAATGTTTTCAGATGACAAGTATTACCTGATCTGACAGTGCCTTCTTCAGATCCATTCTCTGGCCATTGAGAGTCACTGTCCAGCAATCGGTTTTTTGATTCACTAAGTGGTTTGATAGGAAAGGGTTGATTTGAGCCAATACTGAAAAGAAGAGCAAATAATTTAGTAAACAGTTTAGTGCTCAATTAAGAATACTTAATTAATAAGCAGCAAATTAGTATTTCTTCTCCTAAACATGTAAGGGTAAATAATAAGATCTCAGCACTCTGAAAAAACTCTATCTTCAAAAGAAATATATGCCCCAACCCCTTATTAAATGGCTTCTCTAGACTGAAGAATCTATATTCCAGCACTGCTAATAAAACTAATTAAGCAAAAGAAAAAGCTTCAGAGGCCAGCCTGAAACATCTTTAACGTGTGTTAATCAAGGGCCATAAGGTAGCGTAAGGACAGGTGAGGATCTATGTCTGTGGCCAGGACAAAAAAATTACCTGTCATTTCTCAAGTTTTCTGCTTTCTACCTCTGCAGTTTAGATCTAAGGGGAAAAAATGATTAAGTGATTTAGCGCAAACTCATTTTTCTAGCTAACAGATCATGGAGGGAGGAAACCGGTGCGAAACGGGGAGGGAAAGGGAACTGCTGTTTGTTGTGTACCTACTATGGGCCAGACACCTATGCCAGGTGCTGTATACACATTATTTCAACCTTTGCAGAAAACTTTGGAGGTAGGTCTACAGCTGGAAACTGAGGCTCAGATAGTTTGATTTGTGTAGATCCACAATAAATGTTGGAGCTCTAAGGTCTTAGCTAAGACCTTCGATTCTAAGCCCTACATGCTTCTGATATTGATATGCAAACTTATAATTAAAAATCCCTTCTCCCCCACAATTAATTTCTGTAGTAAGTTCCAACTGTTTCACTTTGACAGAAGTACCTATCTTTTTCTAAAAAACTGATTTTATTTATTTATTTTTTTTTTTTATCCTCACCCGAGGACATTTTTCCATTTTTTGTACAGATAGAGTGGGAGGGAGAGAGAGGAAGAGACAGAGAGAGAGAAACATCGATGTGAAAGGGACACATCGAGTGGCTGCCACGGCACGACCAACCAGGGCTGGGGACAAACTGCAACCGAAGTACGTGCCCTTAGCGGGAACCGAACCGAGGTCTCTCCGGACCGCAGGCCGATGCTCTAACCGCTGAGCCAAACCGGCCAGGGCTCTCTGTTGATTTTTAAAGAGAGAGGAAGGGAGCCCTGGCCGGTTTGGCTCAACGGTTAGAGCGTTGGCCTGCGGTACAGAGAGACCTGGGTTCGGTTCCCGCTAAGGGCATGTACCTCGGTTGCAGTTTGTCCCCGGCCCTGGTTGGGTCATTTGGGAGGCAGCCATTCGATGTGTCCCTGTCACATCTCTCTCTCTCTCTCTCTCTCTCTCTCTCTCTCTCTCTCTCTCTCTCTCCCCCCCCCCTCCCACTCTATCTGAATAAAAAATGGGAAAATGTCCTCAGGTGAGGATTAAAAATAAATAAATAAATAAATAAATAAATAAATAAATAAATAAATAAATACCTGATTTTAGGGAGAGAGAGGAATGCAAAGACGGAGAGAGAGATAAATATTGATTTGTTAACAGTTCCACTTATTTATGCATTCATTGGCTGTTTCTTGTATGTGCCCAGACTAGAGATGGAACCCACAATTCTGGCTATCATGATGACGCTCTAAAAAATTGAGCTACCCAGCCCTGGCCAGTTTGGCTCAGCGGTTAGAGCGTTGGCCTGCGGTCCGGAGAGACCCGGGTTCGGTTCCCGCTAAGGGCACGTACTTCGGTTGCAGTTTGTCCCCGGCCCTGGTTGGTCGTGCGGGTGGCGGCCACTCGATGTGTCCCTTCACGTCGATGTTTCTCTCTCTCTCCTTCCTCTCTCTCCCTCCCACTCTATCTGTACAAAAAATGGAAAAATATCCTCAGGTGAGGATAAAAAAAAAAAAAAAAATTGAGCTACCCATCAGGGCCAGAAGTATCTCCATCTTCTTTAAAATCTCATTTAAAATGAACTACTCTGAATGTGTGAATCAGATTGCTTGCCATGCAAATATTGAGAAAATATCCTCTAAAAGATGAACAAATGAGAGAAAATTCTGTATTTGTATTTTGGAATTCTCAGTATTATTTTCACACTACAGTTAAAATCTGTCAAAATAAAATGGTGAATAGAACGACTAATTTCTTTGGGAAAAAAAAGTATATATACCAATTTAATCAAATTTGAAAGTGTCTGTTTCTAGGAAAATGCAATGTATTTACGGCAGCCTTCCTTCCTAATTTGCCCAGACATTTCCAGTTTCATGTGATTGTTCTGGTTCAACCAGTAAGAGCAAGCATTCTCATTCCTACTCTGAAAAGGGCTCTGGTTTGGATGATAAAAAGTATGGTTATCCTAAGCATATTAAGTATATATGCTTATTATCTGTACATATATATTTTATCACAATATAATATATAAGTAGACATATATTATTAACCTTCGGTTTAAAAAAATTTAGCCCTGGCTGGTGTGGCTCAGTTGGTTAGAGTGTTGTCCCATTCACCGAAAAGTCTCAGGTTCAATTCCTGGTCTGTGTACATACTCAGGTTGTAAGTTCGATCCCATCAGGGCGTGTATGGGAGGCAACCAATCTGTCTCTCTCTCACACTGATATTTTTGTCTCTCTCTTTCCCTCTCTCCTCTCCCTCCTCTCTAAAATCAATAATAAATCTGCAGGTGACAATTAAAAATATAACAACAATAATTTTTAAAAATATATTAAAAATAATGTTTTTTAAAATCTTCACCCAAAGATATTTTTCTGTTTATCTTCTGATAGAGTGGGAGGGAGGGAGGGACAGACTGAGAGAGAGAAAGAGAGAGAGAGAGAGAGAGCAAGCGATGAAAGAAAGAAAACACTGATATGAAAGAGGCACATCGATTGGTTGTCTCCCACACAACCCTGACCTGGGCCGGGGCGAATCACAACCGAGGTACACGCCCCTTGACCAGAATCGAATCCGCAACTCATTGGTCCACACACTAAAGTTCTAACCACTGAGCAAAACTGGCCAGGGCATTAAAAATAATGTAAACAGAATTTCTCTTTTGCTATGCATACTGGCTTACTAAATTAGGACTGTACATATTGACAAGATATGTACGTATCACATACATACAGTTTTTTTATAATGAATACTGAAAAACGTAATGATGAGAAGCACACCTTCTGGCATATTCACTTTGGTTTGTTACAGAAGCTTGTTCTGGATCCATTCCCACAAGGCGAGTTGGAAAACTGCAACCATCACCCAAACTGCATAATAAAAAATGTCAGTAATAATTTAAATCATATTAAGTTAAATAAACGTCAAATTTAACTCCCATTTTTTAGAGACATGGTATAAGGAAATTATCAAAATGTCATGTCAGAGAAAATTTCCGTACATTTCTAATTAAGAGGGTGAATAGCTTCCATGGGAGGAAAAAAAGCATTTTCTTTTACAATGTACATATATTTAAAAACAGCATCTTCTATAATATTGTATGCCAACTATAATAAAAAAAAAATTACGTTCCATGACTCTAAGATTATGATGCCTGTGAAGATGAGGACACTTCAAACATAAGTATTCAAATATCTGGGTAACTGACCTGACCCTCACAGTCATTTAAGATATCATAAAGGCTCAAACTGAAATTCAAGATGTAAGTTTCACACATATACACTTCACAACATTTATTAAACAATTATTTACTGAATGCCTATGATATTCCAGGTACTATTTTAAGTGCTAAGAATCTGGCAGTTAACAAGAAAGAAAGAAATCTCTGCCCTCAAAACATTTACAATCTAAAAGGTATAGGTCTGCTTACTTTCATACCATAAAAACATCAACTTTTATACAACAAGAACTTTCACTTCCAGCCAAGAAGGATGAACTACGAAATCTGACCCTTAGTTTTAAATAACCAGAAAACAAGAGTATACAATACATTTTTCAAAGCAGCACAGAACTGTGGTCTGTGACAGAAGAGAACCGACCAAGTGAGTTTCAGACTTTGCCAGGCCAAGAGGGGACACAGAGCAAGGTGGTCTCACTGAACTGAAGCGACAGAGATAGAAATTTCTAGAAGTTAAGGCAGCTTGAATCAACAAGACACAGCTGAGGAAGAGGGAGATATGCAAAAGCTAAAAAACAAAAAATGTCTGCCACAACAGAATTTGACATTCTTTTAAGGAAGACAAAATCTAAACACTCAGAATTCAAAATGTCCACCGCCCAATAAGAAAAAATACTAGTGTGAAAAGTAGCAGGAAAATCTGATACACAATTAAGAAAAAAATGTTGATAGAAAAGAATTAGGCCCTGGCCGGTTTGGCTCAGCGGTTAGAGCGTGTCGGCCTGCGGTCCGGAGAGGCCCGGGTTCAGTTCCCGCTAAGGGCATGTACCTCGGTTGCAGTTTGTCCCCGGCCCTGGTTGGTCATGCTGGTGGCAGCCGCTCGATGTGTCCCTTTCACATCGATGTTTCCCTCTCTCTCTCTTCCTCTCTCTCCCTCCCACTGTGTCTGTGCAAAAAATGGAAAAATGTCCTCAGGTGAGGATAAAAAAAAAAAAAAAGAATTTGAAACAAGGACTTTGAAACAGTGATTATAAATACCTCTGAATTAACAAGAAAAAGTAAATAGAATAAGACAAATGTAAGATATAAAAAGGAACCAAACTGAACTTCTAGAACTGAAAAATATAATATCTGAGATGAAAAATTCACTGGATTAGCTTAACAGTAGAGTGAACATGACTGAAGATTATAAACACAGCAATAGGAACTATCCAAAATAAAGCAAAGAAAAAAGATGGGGGAGGGAAAGAGAAGGAAGGACAGAATAGCAATGGCCCATGAGTCACAATCAGAAAATTGAAGTACGTCTATTTATCAGTTATCGGTATCGGTAAAAGGCATGGAAAAGGAGGAGCAGGCAGCAAACACAACTAAAATAGATAATGAAAATTATTCAAATGTGATGAAAACTGTAAAGTTATATTTAAGATGCCTAATAAATTCCAGACAGGACAAACACAAAGAAAACCATCCCAAAGAAGGTTATCATCAAAAGGCCTAAAACCAGCCATAAAGCTAAAATCTTCAAAACAGAGGACAATTTACTAACAGTACAATAAAGATAAGAATGGGGGGCTCATTTTTTGTCACAAGCCAGAAGATAATAGAACCACATTAAAAATTTCTTTTTTGCCCTGGCCAGTTTGGCTCAGTGGTTACACCATCAGCTGGCAGACCAGAGAGCCCCAGATTTGATTCCCACTAAGGGCATGTACATCGGCTGCAGTTTGTCCCTGACCCCCGGTTGCGGTCGTGTAGGTGGCAGCCACTCGATGTGTAACTCTCACATCAATGTTTTTCTCTCTCTCTTCCTCCCTCTTTCCCTCCCGCTCTATCTGAAGATACATGCAAAAATGTCCTGGGGTGAATACAAAATTTTTTAATTCTGGAAAATGGCAGCACAGTGAATGGAAGCTACTCAGACCATCTCCCAGGAACAAAATAAAATTACATCTAAACTAAAGAAAAATCGTCAGAAAAAAGCAACAAAAAAGGAGCTGGAGAGGACCTGTATAACCAGGGACAGAAAAAGAACACTACATCGAGCCTGGCAGGAACTGCAGAGGCACGAGAGGGAGGGCAGGGAGCCCATGGAAAGCAGCTGTTTTAGCTATAAGCAGCTCCCTACTCCACAGCACACAGGGCTGGGACGCAGCACTAAATTAGATGCAGTCACTCACCTTGGGCTCTGGCAGAGGAAGGGCAGACTGGAAAGAACTGTGTGGAGACTTCAAAGATTGGAGAGCTGAGAGGGGAATGGGAGTTTTGTGCTGAATCACTCCCTCACAGGACAGTAGCCATCTACTCAAAGAGCCCCTTCCCAGAGCCCATGAGAGAAGCAACAGCCCCTCCCTCAGAAACTTAACACCACCAGGCCAGGCCAGAGAAATGCAAACTGAGGCTCATTAACAGCCAGCAAGCATCTGCCCCACCCTTAGAAAATCCTTTTATCTTGAACACCTGAGGAATTTTTTTTTCATTCACCTCAGGCTACAACCCAAGGCTCATCAAGTAACCGAGTCCACTAAGCTCCAGTAAAAAACCTAGAGGATAACTGAACCCTTCCTTGGCTTGCAAATCTACCCAGGAAAGTAAGACTTGGCAGTGGTATTTAACGTGGGTCCTCCCAAACTCATCCAAACCCAACAGAGGGAACACCAACACCACAGGGAAAATTTGGCAGGCTCCAAAACCAACTGAGACAGCCAAAATAATGAAACAAAGAAACAAATTCTGAATGAAAGAACAAGACCACTCGACAGAAGAAAAGATAAATGAAATACAGTTAATCAAGTAATCAGAGGTAGAGTTCAGAGCGATTATAATGAGAAAGCTCAAAAGCATGAGTAAATACATAGAACCACTGAAAACCAACCAACTGAAAATGAAGAATGACATAGCAGAAATAAAGAACACATTGGAAGGAATAACCAGCAGAGTAGAGGAAGCTGAGGAGATGAGTGCATTAGATGACAGGGTGAAAAAAATCACCCAATCAGAAAACCAAGGAGAAAAAACAATTAAAAAACAGGAAGACAGCTTAAGAGAACTGTAGAACAACAAAAACAAGTAACAACATATGCATCATAGGAGTTCTAAATAAAGAAGAAAATGAGTAAGAGTTAGAGAATATATTTGAAGAAATAGTGACAGAAAACTCCCTAACTTGGTGAAGGTAAAAAGCATTCAAGTTCAAGAAGCACAGAGAGCCCCAAGTAAAAAGAACTCAAACAGGCCCACACCAAGACACATAGTAATTAAAATGCCAAAATTTAAAGACAAAGAGAGAATCCTAAAGGCAGCCAGAGATAAGCAACAGGTTACCTACAAAGGAACCCCCATAACGCTGAATTCTCAACAGAAACACTACAGGCCAGAAGGGAACAGCATGAAGTCATCAAGGTCATGACAAACAAGGATCTGAATCCAAGACTACTCTACGCAGCAAGGCTATCATTCAAAACAGAAAGTCAGCCCTGGCCAGTTTGGCTCAGTGGTTAGAGCGTCGGCCTGCGGTCCGGAGAGACCCGGGTTCCGTTCCCGCTAAGGGCATGTACTTCGGTTGCAGTTTGTTCCCGGCCCTGGTTGGTCGTGCGGGTGGCAGCCACTCGATGTGTCCCTTCACATCGATGTTTCTCACTCTCTCTCCCTTCCTCTCTCTCCCTCCCACTCTATCTGTACAAAAAATGGAAAAAATATCCTCGGGTGAGGATAAAAAAAAACAAAACGAAACAGAAGGTCAAATAAAGAGCTTCTCAGACAAAAAAAAAAAAAAAAAAGGCTAAGGGAATATATCAGCACCAAACCAGCACTGCAAGAAATGTTAAAAGAACTACTATAATTAATAGAAAAAATAGGAATAAAAACAGAACCACACTGAACAAAAATGGCAATAAATAAGTACATATCAATAAATGTAAATGGCTTGAATGTTCCGATAAAAAGACAGAGTGGCTGACTGGATAAGAAAGCATGACTCACATATATGTTGTTTACAAGAGACCCACCTCACAACAAAAGACTCACATAGATTGAAAGTGAAGGGATGGAAAAAAATCTCTAAAGCAAAAGGAAAGGAAAAAAAGTTGGGGTAGCAATACTCATATCTGCTAAATTAGATTTCAAAATGAAGGTCATAACTAAAGAAAAAAGAAGGCCACTACATAATATTGAAAGGATCTATCCAACAGGAAGATATAATATTGGTAAACATATATGAACCCAATACAGGACCACCAACATATATTAAAAATCTTCTGGAGGACTTCGAAGGAGAAATCGACAGAAATACAATCATAGCAGGGGACTTCAACACCCCGATGACATCACTGGATAGATCCTCTAGACAAAAAACTAACAAGGAAACACAGACTCTAAATGAAGCGCTAGATCAAATAGGTTTCATATACGTATATCTACAGAGAATTACATCGCAAAACTGCAGAATTCACGTTCTTCTCAAGTGCACATGGGACATTCTCAAAAATAGACCACATGTTAGGGCACAAACTAAGTCTCTACAAGTTCAAGAAGACTGAAATCATATCAAGCATCTTCTCAGATCACAATGGCATGAAACTAAAAACCAACTGCAACACGAACATGCAAAGACATTTGAAAACATGAAGGCTAAATAGCATGTTATTGAACAATGAATGGGTTAACATGGAGATCAAGGAAGAAATGAAAAAC